TGGATGGCAAGGGAGATTTTTCTTTATTATTTTTGTAGCTATTTTTGGTTATTTGATGGTTTAGTTCTTTGAGTTCAAACTGTAACCTGTTTTGATATTTTCCTTTCTTTTTGATTTGTATTGGATCTCTATTGTTGTTGAATTTATTTTCAGTCTCCCATTAACTGTCCATCTTTGTGATTCCAGGTGCTGAGGGCCTCACTGGTGATCCTGTTTGGTGATGGTGTCCCTTCGTGTGTAGTGTCTTATTCACTCCCCTCCTTTGTTTTGCTTTGCCCTTGTGTGTTTGGAGTGTTAATTTTGGATTGTGGTGCTCCCATTTTAAGTTTATACTTTCACCCCTCACTCACCTTGAGCACAAATGCCCCAGCCCTGGAATACATGATAATTTATACAAATAGGATAACTTTTTTTAGATTTGAATTGTGCCCAATAAACTGTTGTATATGCTTTTGGAAACACGTCTCTCGCCTGCTCAGTGTAACGAACTTGTGTTGTCCTTTTGTTTAGATTTAGTAATTTACCTTATTCATAGATTTCTTTCTTTTCCCTGGGTGATTTCTCCCAGGGTGGCGTTGCTGGTTTCCTTTAGTTTCTTTCTTTTCCCCTAGTTAAAAACATAGATATTGGGGTAGTCCTACCCCACCTCACGCTTGTCACATTTGCATAATCGAATTATAATCCCCGTACAGCCTGGCTCACTTAGCCTCGATCCACATCGAGATTGAGACGGATTACGAAGAAACGTTAATTTTTTGCTCAACTTTTTTTGAACTAAAATGAAAGGTGCAAGCAGCGATGAATGGCCCTTGTTACAGACCTCTGCTTTTATCAAGTGGATCATTTCTATCCAGTGAGGATGATATGATATGTGCTGGGAAGCACAAGGTTGGTGGTTCGAGTCCAGGCTGCCCCATGTTCCATGTCGAAGTGTCCCTGAGCAAGACACCTAACCCCTAATTGCTCCCTGGGAAAAAATGTGAAAAAGCCATGGGTTTAAAGTGTAATGTAAGTCGCTTTGGATAAAAGCGTCTGCTAAAATGACCTGTAATGTAATGTAATATGAGGGATCGAAGCTGTGGCCTCCAGATGAGCATTTTCTGGGGGCTGCTTTATGAACACGTGTAAGGGGGCGCTATTGAGCAAAAATGCCATTAGGAAGAATTGAAATCATACGAAGTAACTACATCTTTAACTTTAAATTTGTGTGCCATGTTTAGTCCCTCAAAAGCACCTCCGTTTGGATTGTTTTGTCCAAATTTGAAGTGGCTCTGACCAGGTGCCAGGGAGGGGTTCGTCAAAGCATGGCGTCTACAAAGTGAAATACATAGAGGAAATATTCACACAAAAAGAATGATTATGACTGACTCCCTGTTCATTTTTAGACCAGTGGTTCTCAAGTGGTCTGGCTCCGGGACCCACCATCACCTCTTAATAACAAGCCGCGAGGAACATTCTCTACTTCTCAAATGTATTCAATGAAAATATGGTGCAGTTTGAACCTGAGACAGTATGGAGACAGAATACGTATGCCAACACAAAAACAAGTTTAATGAAAGAACTAAACAGCCAGCTGTTAATTCCAATTTTTATTTTCCCAGGAAAAGGCCCGCGACCCATTAAAAACAGGTCAGCGACCCAATAGTGGGTCGCTGACCCACCAGTTGAGAATCACTGTTTTAGACAATAGTCTATGGGCTGCTTCATTGAATGCGTGAAGGTGGCGCTATCGAGCCAAAACGCTATTTGTCAGCATTGAAATCACATCAAGTAACTACATCTCTAACTGTAAATGTGTTTTCAAAGTTTAGTAAAGATTGGAGCATATTTAGCAACCAATTAGCCTCTGTGCCAACGCACGGGGAATAACTAGAGGGATTAACGTCTGAAAGGATGTTTGCATAATCTAATTATAATCCCCGTACAGCCTGGCTCATCTAGCCTCAATCCACATCGAGATTGAGACGGATTACGAAGAAACGTTAATTTTTGCTAAATTTTTTAAAACTAAAATTAAAGGTGCAAGCAGCGCTGAATGGCCCTTGCATGTCGGGGGGGAGGAGGGGGGACAAGAAAGGGGACAAAAAAGTAGAGTGGATGTGGGATTCCAACCTAAGTCTATGGCTCCGTGAACAGAATACCCTAACACTGGGCTACTGGCCTTGCTGTATTAAAATATTCAAAACGTTGGGAAAATATGTAGGATCACCTACATTCAGTCAAGACAAAGACTGGGAGCTAATCACACAACCTTGCTAAACAGAGATGTATTAACTTTTTGGTACACATCTTTCTGAGCGGTCTGGCAGATATATTTTTTGCGAACTGAACCCACTGAATGTGTCTCTGCAGAACAGTCGCCATTATTTAAACCTGAACCCTGAAATGATCCACATTATCAAGTGGATCATTTCTCTCCAGTGAGGATGTGGACAACTCCAGTCATGTCAGTCACAGTGGGACATTTGACCAACATGATTCATTGTTTTCAAGCCTCCTCTGCTGATATGAGGGAGAAATCTGCAGAGCTGGATCGAAGCTGTGGCCTCCAAATGAGTGCACCTGGATCATGCTCGAAAGCACCTCCGTTTTGATCTTCAAAAACAAAAAGGTTTTAATAACGTTTAATACCTTTGGGATTGCTCTGTCCAAATTTAAAGTGGCTCTGACAAAGTGCCAGGGAGGAGTTCGTCAAAGTATAGCGTCTAGAAATAGAGGAAATATTCACACAAAAGGAATTATGACTGACTCCCTGTTCATTTTAGACCATAGTCTATGGGCTGCTTCATTGAATACTGAAGGGGAGGCCTATTGAGCCAAAACGCTATTTGTGTTTTTCAAGTTTAGTAAAGATTGGAGCATATTTAGTCCCTCAAAAGCACCTTTGTTTTGACTGTGAATAACGGGTTATCATGGCAACCGTATCGTAACAAAAAGTTAACTTTTAATCACAAAGGCCTTGTGATTGTGAAAATTTGAAGTCCACGGGAGGAGTTCGTCAAAGTATAGCGACCACAAGGTGCAAAAAAAGCATGGTCCCAAGAGACTTTATTCTAAGTCTCCCTGTTATACATATGTCCAACAATCGTCATACATGTACAGTTGTGGTCAAAAGTTTACATAGACTTGTAACATAATGTCATGGTTTCCAGTTATATAAAAGTCAGATTTTTCTCTGATAGAGTGATTGGAACAGATAGTTCTTTGTCATAAAAAAACATTCATGAAGTTTGGTTCTTTTATGACTTTATTATGGGTTAACAGAAAAAGGGACAAAATCTGCTGGGTCAAAAGTATACATACGGCAGTGCTAATATTTGGTTACATGTCCCTTGGCCATTTTCACTTCAATTAGGCGCTTTTGGTAGCCATCCACAAGCTTCTCGTTGAATCTTTGACCACTCCTCTTGACAGAATTGGTGCAGTTCAGTTACATTTGATGGCTTTCTGACATGGACTTCAGCATTGTCCACATGTTCTCAATGGGATTTAAGTCAGGACATTGGGAAGGCCATTCTAAAACCATAATTCTATCCTGATTTAGCCATTCTATCATCACTTTTGATGTGTGTTTGGGGTCATTGTCCTGTTGGAACACCCAACTGCACCCAAGACGAAACCTTCGGACGGACTATTTTAAGTTATCTTTAAGAATTTGAAGGTAATCCTCATTCTTCATTATCCCAGCAGCTTCTAATTCTTGACAGATCTGCTTTTTGGTTGTTCTCTGTTGACTCTTCACCCTCCGGAACAATTTTCTCTCAGCAGCAGGTGATAGCTTGTGTTTTCTTCCTGATCGTGGCAGTGACTAAACAGTGCCATTCACTTTATACTTACAAACAATTGTTTGCACTGTTGCTCTTAGAACCTGCAGCTGCTTTGAAATGGCTCCAAGTGACTTTCCTGACTTGTTCAAGTCAATGCTTCACTTTTCAGATCCATGCTGAGCTCCTTTGACTTTCCCATTGTGGCGTTTGTATCCAATGAGCCCTATTTTTATGGCCTCAGAGTCACCAGCTGTAGTCACTCATGATCACTCACAAGAAGTTAAGAGGCCATGAAGCTCATTTCATTGACACAACTTTCTAAGGCACCAAAACTGCTAATTCATGTCATGCTGTATGTATATTTTTGACCCAGCAGATTTTGTCCCTTTTTCTGTTAACCCATAATAAAGTCATAAAAGAACCAAACTTCATGAATGTTTTTTATGACAAAGAAGTATCTGTTCTAATCACTCTATCAGAGAAAAAATCGGACTTGTAGAAATAACTGGAAACTCAAGAGAGTGTATGTAGAGTAGCTCATCGAAGTGTATAACTACGTATAACTTGCCAATATGCCAATAATTGGCACTATAATCTTTTGAAAATCACTGCACGGGAATACTTTAAGGCCTACGCTAGCATCATGAATAAGACATTTTGGCCAGAAATAAAAATGTTCCTTGGAGTTAACATTTTACGTCTTCAAGAAAATCGACCGAAACCGACCAAATTGGATGCCAGGCCACGCCCAGGTAGTTGCACGAAAACTCTTGAACTTTTTCCCACACAGGTGTCAACATCAATTTCCCGAATTTGAAATGAATCGGACGAAATACGAAAAAAGCAAAAATTCAGAGAATGACTGCACCGCCCCCTAATGTTCAAATATTCTGGAAGAATTAGGGTATGCTCAAGGACTCAACATGAACATATCCTAGAGATTTGGTAAGGACAGGTAAAACTTTGAAGTTATAGGTATTTAACGATGAGGCCACACCCCTTGCAAACTTAATTTGTCCATAACGTTGATGAATAATGAGATATCAACAAGCTGTTTCGGGCGTCGGAGGGTAAGTTTGTGGTGCGCAGTGGATGAAATGTGGTCTGATATATGTTCTTCACAGTAAATGAGACATGGCCAATGTCTGAGTTTGAAAAAATACAGGTTCTTGGAACCCAAACCCCAGACAAGGGTTTAGCGATTAACATTCATTTCAGCTTCTTACAAAAGCATTCGGAGAAATAGCTTTAATTCTCTTCACATAAGGTATACATCAGGAACAGATTATAGTAATCGGCTTATGCCAGCTTTAAATTGGCACATTTTATTGTGTGAAAAGTAGCCATCAAAAGGTTTTATAAAAGGGTTATTCCACACAGGGCTAGCGTTCTCCGGTCCATGTGCATTATTATTGTGCTCACACTTTGTCCTGTTCCCTTGTTGGAACGGAGTAAGTGCCGGCGTGTGAGGCAGTGCTTCTACTTTCTGAAGCGCTTGAACAGTGGATGAATGCCTTTGCCCAATGCAGAGGCTTTGCTGCCTCGACTCTGATATTCCATGTAGACTGTGTCATCTGCACCTGACATGGAGCTCATGGTTCCTGTCCGTCTTGAGAACTGATTAGGAAGAGGGAGGTTTGGAGACAAGTGAGAGCATTGTTATTATATAATAGCACAACGTAAAGGAAGTAAAGAGTGTGTGCTTTCTGAGTCCAGATCCAGCAATGTTCCTCACCTGAGGTCGTCCACCCACTTCCCCGGCCACTACTTCCTCCTCAGCGTCCAGGTCTGAAGCAGCTAGAACCTTCTGAAGCAGCTGCTGTTGCTCCTCTCTCGAGGAGAACATTAAGTCCTCTTCCTCCATACCTGCCAACTTTGTGATCACCTGCGAAAAAAGAGGAACACAACATCATAGAGAGGGTATTTGTTAATGGTACAGGGATGAGGGGTCACATAAATGAGGACCAACAATCATGCGGTAACTTTTTACGCATATTTTTGAATACGTTAAAGACATAGATTGAGGCATTTTGTCATTTTATACGGACTCTAGTCCTCTCAATCAAATGTGTAGATGATGTGAAACCGATCGTGTGCAGTCCCTTGTCTATGTAAACTATCTCTGTGAACGGAATATTAATTTTCTTCCTCATTCTGTTTTGGCCCTCAACTCCCAATGTAGATGTGGATGTGTCCAGTGTGAAGTCCAGCCAGAATGTGAAATAAACCTCTAGCCCCTTTAGATTCTGAAAGAGGGCCAAAGAGGGAGAGCAAACGTATCTGAGCGGTGGCAGAACTGTACAATCCGGTGTGTGAACAGGGTAAAATGTGTGGTGCAAGTCGAAGGGCCGGAGACAAAAATAAGGTGAAATTGTGTGAAGCTGGCAAGTGGCTGCAATGCTGGACAAACCTTAAAGCTGTAACCTTGGTCCACCAGGAACCTCTGTCTCTTGGTGGAGTAAGCCATCTCCTGGGTGTCCTGGGACACCAGTGAGTAGAAGTAGGCGTTGTACTCCTCTGCTACCATTCCTAAACAAGCAGACGGGCGGAGGTAGACAAAACAGCTACATCAGCATATCTCACGCATGGGCCAAGAATACAGGTGTTTTTTTGCTGACAGACTGACCTTTTTTGGCTCTCAACACTCTGCCAAGCCTCTGGGCCTCCTGTCTGCGTGATCCACCGTGGGAGGAGATCTGGATCAGAACATTGGCTTCTGGCAGGTCAAATGAGGTGTCTCCGACCTGTTTATGGGAGTTTTTTTATAGAATAGGGTAAATGTCTGTAAAACGAAGCCAGTAGAATCAAATTATATTTGACAAAATTACAACTGGAATATCTTTTGCATCTTATTCAATCGTTAGCGTCCATATGAACACAGAGCGAGACACAAACCACCGAGGTGAATGAGTGACGCTGAACCGGTTGTCTTCTACAGTGGTGTTACGTCTACTGTCCAGAAGGGGGCACTGCTCTGAATGAGTACGGTCACGACCGTATCGGTCTACCTTGGAGATAAAGATGGTGTTGATCTTGGGGTTGTGTTTGAAGTTCTGTAAGATCTGCATTCGCTCCCCTTGAGAGGTCGGACCATAGATGTAGGGTCTGGACAGGACAGGAAGATCAAAACCGAATTAAATACCTCAAGAAATGGGATCTGAATAAGCAGTTCACTGAAATATTGAAAAGTCTGCTTGTGTTGAAAACAACTGACTTGTTGAGGCGAATGGCGTATTCCTTCAATGCAAACACGTTGTCAGCAAAGACCATAATCTTGTCGTTGCGCTGCTCGTGGAAGTGGATGAGAAACTGGCAAGCGCGGAATTTATTCGGGTTCATTGTATAAAACAGCATGCGCTTCTTGGTCTTGATGGCCACATACTCTCTGTAGAACTCCGGCGACATCGGGCACCACACCTGAAGCACAGACATGGGTGCAATGTTCAGATAGCTCCATCAGTTCAGGAACACAATGTCCCTGATCTGTTAAATCTTGACTGCATCTTCATCAAAGAGCCGTCGTCAAATATTATCGAATCCTGGGACAGTAAGGGTCATAAAACCTCCACGTAACCTCCCCATCTTTGTTCCTAAAAAAACGTTACTTATTATTCAGACACATCTACATGTCAGACTTTAGTACAACACATTATTACATTTGTTGCACCTTGCAAAGACAGGCAATCACTTAGGATAGCTGAATGTTTATCAAGTTACAAAGTCCATATAGAGACAACGACTCAATTGACACAGAGTAGTTATAAACATTATATGTTTTCCCATTTATCTAAATTTGTTGTACTCTACTCACCTCGGCACACTGGACTTTGGCAATGTAGCCATTGTTCTGTAGCTCCATCCAATTGGCCTCAAATAGTTTAGGTCCAATTAGGAAGTTCAGGTCTACAATCTTGTCGTCTTCCCTGACCAGTGTGGCAGTGAGACCCATTTTGCAATGTGCCTGGACGATGGTCAGAACCCGACGAAACATCTTGGCTACAGAGAAAGCAAACACTTAAGTTAACATTTGGATTAATGCCACCATGTTAGGCACCGATATCCCATTGTATCCCAGGCTATTACTTTGAAATGCTCTTTGCACAACGGCATTACGCTGGAACGCATGTGGAGTTGTTTTTTTGGAAACTGATGTGCAATCACGACTCACCAGGGATCGTGTGCACCTCATCCAGGATAATGAGTCCCCACTCCTGGCTCCGCATCCACTCCATGACTCTCTCCGCCTCCCAGGAGCGCTTGGTGGTGTGACCCAGCATGGAGTAGGTGCTGATGGCCACCGAGCAGCCGATGGGCTTGTCCTTGGCGTCCGAGGTGAAGCGGCAGATCTGAGAGTCGTCGATAGTGGACCACATCTTGAACTGAGCCTTCCACTGCTCCACTGACACCGAGGAGTTCCCCAGCACCAGGCAGCGCTTACGCACCGTGCACGCCGCCGTCACGCCCACCAGCGATTTGCCCGCTCCTGGAAAACAAAAGGGGAGATGAAATATTCAGACACACAAGCTTTTCACATACTTTGAGTTGAAGGCGTACGATGAAGGGAAGTCCACCAGGGATCAGCAGTCTATCCCGTGTTTATTATGGGCTAAATGCTAAATGTTCACATGTTATTATTTCATATTCAAGTCAGGAATGTGTTAATATTGCATCGAAATGCTGTGGCCGTGTCCTTTTTGTTCTGTCACTCGTTGTCTCGCTGTCCCCCATCGGCTGCAGCGGGGCAGGCGTCTCACCGCAGGGCAGCACGATGACCCCGGAGCGAGCGCGTCCATTCCCGAACATCTTGCGCAAACTCTTTTCCTGGTAGGGCCGCAGCACAGCGGTGGGCTTCAGGTCGATGTTGATGTCGGGGTTGACCGTGTCGTTGCGAAAGTCGTACTCGGCCAGGAGGGGGTACTCCAGCTGAATGCAGCGCTTCTGCAGGTCTTCGATCATCTCCTACACCCGATCGGGGAAGAGCCGTTCGGGGATTAGGGCACAGAAATACGATCGTAAAAACACGGTGCTTCATTCTGAAATGAAGCCACAAAATATATCGACGTGGTAGCGTAACATGATTGAGTAGTGAACCAGGAAAAGAAGAATAACTGAAATGTAAAGTCCACCTGGCGAATCTCACAAGACACAGTTTGAGTCTCCTCCTCCTCCTCTTCTTCTTTATCCATCTGCTCATAGTAGCTGAAGATGTCGTCAGGGACCTGCTGGGTGGAGGGTTGTCCATCGCCGGGCTGCTGTGAGGTGGAAGCAGCCCCCTTTTCTTCGATGGACTTGGAAATCTTTTAGGAGACACAAAGGGAGAATTTAAGTGTACGACCAGGACGGGAGTTTCAACTTCTTTTGGCGTCTACAGTCAGTCACACATTTGAAAACATGACGTGCTTTAATACTATGTCATTCTAATGTCAGCACATCCCAAGACACTATATGGCAACATTACATCACACTTTTCAAAATGTTTCAATAATCGTCATGGTAAATGTCACTTTTGAGATTTGGTATAAACTTTTTCATCTTTGCATTTTCACCTGTTATTGAATATTAAACATAAACATGTATGTATTTGAATTCATGAACCACAAATTAAAGCAGAAATAAATGACTTTACATGTTTTTGTGCAAGCATTAAAAGGTTTTGGAGGGCATACCACCGACTTGCTCTGGATGACTTCAGTGATGAGCTCCGCGTCGGCTCCGTCCGCAGTGCGGAGACGACATTCGCGGATCACCGAGTCCTGGAGAAGCCGCTGGATCACGTCGGGGAAGGCACTCTCAACAAAGTACCTGCATGTGGACAGGGAGCCCAGTTTAAGAAGAGCACCGACGGGATGAAAAGGAATGTCCAGACAGAGGCAGAGGTTGCTGGACTGATTTTACCTGTTGTGCTTAAGCACCAGCTTGACTTTGCCGTAGCTCATCGTGCAGAGCTGAGAGGAGGAAAGGAGGCAAATTCAGCGACCAAATAACCAAATTTGCACACGTGGCATTGATAATAATACTTTTGGAACTCTCCCTCTCCTGTACAGATACTCTCTCATTCAGACCTTAATGAACTGCACGATTCCATCCGGCACAGACGTCTTGCTGAGTTTCTGCAGGTATTCTACAATATCAGAGGTTTGCAGTCCCACACTGACAGCTGCATACAGCGAATAGGCTGTCAGTTTGTACTCGTGCACGTGGTTAGGCCTGCACACCGGCTCGGCAATGGCCACCATGAAATCCTGGGCGTACTTGTACACGGGTGAGAAGGCTTCCAGGAAGATGTGTCCATCTGGAGCCTGGAGGAAAAGATGAGGAGAGGAAAAGGGAAAAACAAAGAGAATCCTTTAAACCTGTAAAAATAGTGAACCGTCTCAAGTGAGGAAATCAAACATGTGAGCACATCTTACCACCCAGAGGGGCCGTGAAGAGTGGTCATTCTTTAACAGCATCTGAACCCGGTAGTCTTTGGCGCCATATTCATCCAGTTTGGTACTGGACTCGTCCACTTGTTTCCCCGCAGCAGCAGGTATGGCCTCCTGAGACTCGCCTCCCACAACATCTTCGTCCTCGTCCTCCTCCTCATAGAAACGCTTTTTCGACTTCTTCTCTGTGAGACCACACGCATGAGTTTGAAATAAATGTCAGTATAGGTGCACAAATATCAGAGAACAGAAATGTATCGATGTCATTTATCTGGTTTAAGGATTTTATAACACTCGTGGCAACGTATTTAACGTAAGTACTCTTTTTTTAAACCCAGACATGACAACTTATTTTTTGCTATGTTATAGGAATGTATTTTGCTGGTATGTAAGACGTTTTAACACACAGGTCACTGCGTAAACAAACCACGTGAGCTCAAATACTACACACGTATTTTAGCCATTACTGTGTTTTGATATAGAAATTCAGCCTGTTTTACACTTTCGCTACAACTGCTCATTTAACAAGGCAAAACCAAAGGAGGCATTCGACAACACTTGCACATGAGGATCGCATGTGTTTCAATACACGATAACGCTCAGCTCGCCATAGATAGCTAATAACAGCTCAATGTGTTCTCACCCCGGTCTCCTTTATCTCTTTTACCCATTTTACAAATTCTTAAATAGACAATTTCTTTGAAAACATGACTTCATGATCTGTCTGATGTCTTCCTGAGTGTCCACAAAGATGGGCAGTTGCTGTGTCGCTACGACACAATACTGGTGTCAAGTATCCTAAAATAACGGAGGAGGTTATTCCTCCGCCTTCAAAATAAAGTCTGAGGACGCTGAGAAAAATGTACTCCTTTTTTTCCAGATTCTAAATACATAGAAGTCTTCTGAAATAATAGTTAATGATAATTAACATGTATGCTTACGCATGCATATCAAATAAAGCTAATCACCTTTCTGTTTGTGATACAACTTACAGAGGTATTGATTCAGTATTCAGTATAATTAAAAAAAAAAAACCTAACATTAACCAAACATGTTTTATTACTCAAACCTTAATCATTAACGATACTGTCTGAATTGCAGTGTGCCAAAGTAACACTCACGATAAGGTACAATAGTGTATCAAATAAAGTACATTGTATGGCTTGTGCTTTTATTCTGGCAGTGCAACAACAGTGTGTTATGCTGCTAACTTGACTTCACTTAAATACTGTTTAACTTCCGGGGTAAAAGGTCAAATTCGCGCTTCGAGGTTTCTCTGGTCCACGGGGCAGCCTTTTCTTATTTTAAAAACGTCTAATAGAAATCGACTACGTTAAACTACGCGAGTGAGTGTAAGCAACGTGAACTCGAGTCATCCGTGTCAATTATGTCGTCTGATAGAGCGATCGGCCCCGCTGTGCCCCGGATGTTTAAAAAGGAAGAGAGCGATGAAGACTCTGATTATGAGGATGGATGTAAGTAACGTCATAGGGTCCTATCCCACAGTTGCTTTGGATCACATGTACGGTCGGCATCTCGGTGCCCTTTCCATGGTAGTGCGTGTTATTTGCCTGGTTCTGTTTTAGTCTCTGGCCCTGCTTTGCCTCCCGGGTATAAACGCGCAGGATCTTCGAGCTCCTCGGATGACAGTGAACACGAAGTGTCCACCAAAAGAGCCAGAACGAAACACACCGCTGCAGAAAGATCTGCAGAAAAGTAGGTTTATTGGTGGACCACAAGTTATAAAAATGAATGCCCCGACAAACAAAACGCTAGAATGTTTTGTTTTTTGTTGTTGTTATCAGGGTGGAGAACATAAAGGTTAAAGAAACAGGAGATGATGGTTTTTTTGGACCAGCATTACCACCAGGATTCAGGAAACAACAAAGTTCACCAGAAAGGTAAGCAAGGTGATTATTTGTGTTGCGGATAAAGGTGTGTGAGCCGTAACCGCATTGCGTTGCCTCAGGCCCCCCGTGCTGGGACCAGCGTTGCCTCCTGGGTTTCGCAGGGCAGCTCATGAAGACGACGATGATAACGACGATGAAGATGGAGAGGATTTCCCAGGGCCCGCCCTGCCCCCCGGGTACCAGGCGGAGTCCTCCAGCAGCGGGGACGAGGACGTGATTGGGCCCATGCCGCCCACAGGCCCCATCGAGGACTCTGTGGCCCTGGACTTTGAGCGCAGAGCGCGCCGGATGAAAGACAAGCTGACCGGAGATGTGAGTCCTCATCTTATCATTTAGTTAAATGCAGACCGAAGGGTTTTTAAAGAGGGAGTAGTCAAACGGCACAGAAAATCTTTCATGTCTTTCAAAGTTTTCCTCCTCCCGCTATAGGCATTTTTCCCTGCATGTATTTCCGTGTGAACAGAACACTCCCGAGGTGGTGGCCAGAGAAACGTGGATGACGGAGCTTCCACCAGAACTGCAGCACATCGGCCTGGGGGCTCGGACCTTCAAGAAGAAGTCCGGTCCGAAGAACAAGGATCGCTCTATTTGGACGGATACGCCAGCAGACCGGGAGCGCAAGCTCGAGGTATTGAATGCGAAATAATTCCTCCTTTTGTGGCTTGAATATTTTCTCGCTGCATTTCATTGGTTTATTCTTGACCGATAGGAACGCCTTGAGAAAAAGAAGAAGGGTGAGGAGGAGGCAGACGACGTCCCGCTAATCTCCCAAAAGGATGTGGAAATGGCCAAAAAAGTGTCGAAGTATAACGTAAGTGGTATTGTCCACGTGTTGAATGAATGCCAGATGCAATGATCCCATTAGATCCCATTAAACCGGACTAAAGTTATTCCATCCGCCCCACCTTATCAGGAGTCTAAACGTGCTGAGTCTCTGGTCAGTATGCACACAAAGAAGATAAAGGAAAAAGCAAAGGAGAAGGCCGACAAACCAGTGGAGAGGAGAGCATTCGATCGGGAGGAAGACCTGCAGGTGAATCGCTTCGATGAAGCGCAGAAGCAGCGGCTGTTGAAGAAATCTCAGGAACTGAACACGCGATTCTCCCACAGCAGCGACCGAATGTTCCTGTGACATTGTCAATATGTTTGTGTTTTTTCTTTTCAATGGCGAACTGCCATTGACTAGACGTCGATTTTTCCATAGAGGTTTTGTAAAAATATGGACTGTTTGTACGGATTCTTTTGTTACAAAAAAGGGGAAAGTAGAATTCAGCTTAACTTGACCAAAAAGTATATTAAAGAAATGGCAATTTGTAGGAAATTACACCGACGTGGTGGAAAGCTTGTGTTTTAAGCTGTGATAAAGCAGCAGCCAGTGGAGCTTGTATTTTTTCAGCAGACAGGTGGAAATATTGGGGAAATAAATTACATATTTTACTTGAATTCATATAGTGATTTGTTTTTTTTCAAAATGTCGTACTGTATAGATTTGCGTAAAATGTATCACGTTGAATACTCTCATATATTCTGTATGTGTCCAATAGACATATTTGCATTTTTTAGGTTCATTAAATGTGTTCAAACCATTTGTTGTGTGTGTGTGTGTATTTGGGAAATAAAATTGAAGAAGGCGCACACTGAAATGAAGCTTCTGGCTCGCCGTACTTTCATAATTTCGTTTGCGCATGCGTGTGGTGTGCGTCGTTAACTACAGTCTAATGCAACCCAGCACGTTTTAAACTGCCAGAAGCATCATTTTAAAGCATGTCAGACAAAGGAGAAGTGGATTTAACTGGTGCCAAACAGAACACGGGTGTGTGGCTTGTAAAGGTGCGTAACGTTACATAACAGAAAGCGACCCAACGCTAGCACGACGTAGCTTAGCATCGATCGAATGAAGCTAAATTCAATACGTGTTGGTTAGCTAACTTACATGAAACTGGTCTCAGCTACCCATCGTAGTAACATGTGTTGACCACGTGTGAAAGGGTTAGCTCTTCCATCAATACTGAAAGGTTGAAAGCACCCCCGTAAGGTCGTAAGGGTCACGTCTCTTTGTGCAGGTACCCAAATATCTCTCTCAGCAATGGGCCAAAGCGACCGGCAGAGGAGACGTCGGCAAACTGCGAATATCCAAGTAGGTGAAACAACTGAACATCACTGGAAGAGCAGTTAACCTCAGTTTACATCATGTGATGGTTATTATAGTTTGGAAGGTGAACCGATTGTGTTAACTAGAGTGTAATACAAGTAATGCTTGTGTTATTCTACTACTACTACTACTAATAATAATAACTATTCCTGCTAATGAATTCATTCTAATGTTCTCATTCTGTGGATCTCCAAGGAAAGGAAACCAAGGAAAAGCAGAGGTAAGTGATGTTGGAAACGTGTTATGACACAATCATTCATAAGTACTTATCTACCTGAGATGTTCTACACTACGTAGTTTTAGACAAAATGTGAATTTCTTTATAAAGGCTGAAGACAGTAAATGTGCAATCCACCATCAGATTCTCACATTTCTCCTGTGACATTTAGCTGATGGATGATTTACGCTGAGCGTGTTAACTGGAGGACGCTGCTCTTCACAGGTGTCTTTCACTCTGAACGAAGAGCTGACCGTGATCGAGGGCATCGAGGACAAGTCTGTGTCGGCGCCTCGCGAGCACCCGTTCACCATGCAGACGGTGGGAGGTCAGACGCTGGCGGTCTTCACCGAGAATTCATCGGGTGAGTTTCCGGTTTTTAATCCTGAGCCCCGTCGGAGGACGCCAAGGGTTTTTTTTTTTCTCTTGGGAAACGAGTCACGCATCGCAGACCTTAAGTGAAATGTCCTGTAATGTGAATGATCCGTGCGTCCCGGAGCCCGGAGGTGAGTTCCGTGTGGCCAGGTGTCAAAGGCGCCCGTCCTGCTAAGTCTTCCTCTGGCCCGCCCTGCTTGTCTCTCTGTGTGTGTCGAACGATCAACGCATTTTGCCCAGAGTGTGAGGTTGTCCACAGTGCTAACCGAGTATGCATAAGAGACTGTGCTGAAGTGTCCCGTGCTGTTCATAGCGAATAAGTGAAAACCCTGCGGAAAACAAAAGAGGCGTGTTTGTCTTCATCCAGTGTGATCTGTGTGTCCGTCATCCCAGCAGACCAGATTTGAGATCAGGCACCGTGGCCCCATATACAGATCATCAATATCAACACACTTCGTCGCCGGGAGGGAGGGGGGCTCGCTGCGTACACGTTCTTGTATGCGCCCACATGTCTGTGTGGCCGCGGGTGTTGCGAAGCGAAGAGGGGACAATTGTAGACGTGAAAAATGGATTACAGACTCTAGGAAGGGCGGCTCGCCTCCCCTTACTCGGTGTTCAAGGAAACACAGCTGAGCTCACGTCGATAAAGCCCCTAATGTGCTTATTTACTTTGTGCGTCAGAGATTTACTTTGTGCGTCAGAGATTTACTTTGTGCGTGACAGATTTACTTTGTGCGTGTGAGATTTACTTTGTGCGTGTGAGATGTAGTTTGTGCGTCAGAGATTTACTTTGTGCGTGTGAGTTTTTCTCAAGTAAGTGATATTGTAAGACATCATATCTAATAAAATTCACTATATTGACAGAAAACACTGAGAGGGATCATTGTCACGATAACAAAATAATGACTTCGATACTATACCTGCCAAAATATCACGGTACCCGATACTTACGATACAATACCACAAATACAAAACTGGAGGATATTTATCTACGATAGTACTAAATAAAACATCTGTACGGTTCCCTTTTTTACCTGGCATCTGCTTGACTGTTGGATAAACAATGCTTCATTTACTTGCATATAGAGTTTGATATTCTCACATTCATATTAACTAAAAATAAAAATAATTAGGTGAGGATCCACCCTCAGGCTCCACCAACATCAAGTGTGTATTATTTGGTACGATTGCGTGTGCATTCTGACCTCATGATCATATAGGCCCACATGCAAAAGTTGGCAGCTCTGTAGCTCACAACAACATTGCAAAGAAGCCGACGCGAGAGCACTTAATACTAGCATGAATGTCCGAGCGTGTTATAACAAGCGTGCTAACATCGCTAACGAGATGTCTTGCAAGCGGCTAAACGCTCTGATTGCGTACCGGTACTAAAAAAAAAATTCCAAACCGTATTGTGTTCAACGTAAGGGTACCGCGGTACCTTTCTCGTAGCGGTACACCGCGCAACACTACCGCAGCGTTGTCCAAATGGCAATTTCTTACCTCTTATTTGGTAACATACAACGTTCTCATGAGCAAAGGCAATCTGCTTGGGGGTCAGGATTTGTCATGGATGTGTGTTTGTGGTGGCACAGGGTGTCCGTGCTTGCTTTTCTTGCGAGGGCATGCTCGCTTCGCTCATTCAACGTTTGGTGTGCAACTAAACCTTGGTTGTGGTTCTTGTTGTTCGATCTCCTTCTCCCTCCGTCTTCCATCCCCTGTACTTCCATGTTTACCAACCCTCCCTCCCTTCCTGTAGGCCAGTCAGAAGAAAGATCTGATGGCAGCAGCTCAGTTTCGGGGGCGGGGGCAGGTCCAGGTGAGTCCTACGTTTCGCCAGCGAGTGACTGAGTTGCAACACTGGGACTCAGACACAAAGAGCGTCTGTTCATTTTTGTTAATAGGTGGCGTGTCACAATAGCAACCCATTTGGACGGTGCATGTGTTGCTACCATTGTCCTCGTGTGGAGTTTTTCCCCTGGAACACACAAGCAGCCGCTGTTTCTGAGCATAAATTGCACAATTCGTATGAAGCTTCTGCACTTTGTTTGCATCGTCCTGAATGGAGGGTGAAAAAGCGGCTGCTACCTGCTCGTGGTGCTGCCAGTCCAGTTGTGGCATTGTGTTGGCGAAGAGAATTGATTTCTTGATTGTTTCTAAATGTTAGTTGTGATCCATTCTGTACATGAGTCACCTTCCTTTAGAAATACAAGAAAATAAGCCATTTGGGACCTTAATATGTGTAGATTATGGTGAGGTGTCGTTAATGGCTTCAGGAACATTCTCTTTCAAATTCCTCATCTCCTTAATGTTTAAGTAGATTAGGACCAGTAATACTTCTAAAGCTGTAGGCCAAAGTGACTTCAGATTACCTTTTGTTACATAGTATAAGACGTTATTGTCATTAATACTGATTAATACGTAATACAGCATAGAACAATGGTACTTGACCCAAACGTTTCTCATTCAGTAAGTAAGTCTGCACACAGTGTGACCACCTTTCTGAGCCGCGAGTCAGCATATTTAACCCACTGGAGCCTCGGGGGAAACGTGAAAGACAAAGAGGTTATGTTATTTGATATATGGATGATTGACAGTGAGGGGTGGCACCCAGCAAGAAAGTCCTGGCCTTTCTGTGTGGAGTCTGCATGTTGCCCCCGTGTCTCCGGGCACTCCTGCTCCCTCCCACAGTCCAAAGACGTGCGCCACGGAGGAGGTTAGTTGGTGACTCCACAGAGAGATGTCAGCCCTGCGATTGAATGAGGACCAGTCCAGACTGTAAGGAGTGTAGAGGATGAATGAACAGATTCAGGGCCCATTGTACGGACATTGGTGGCTTTTTGCTGAAGCAAAGACAACAAATGGACTGAATTAGAGTCCACCGTGGACTGAATAATAGTAACAGCAGAGTGAGAGGTCAGATGTGCATGTTGGGCGGTTTGTAACCTTCACATTATGGTGAGTGGAGTTTTGGTATCTTGGTGATAAAAGCAAAATTACGCAGTTTGTAAAACCCCTGGACTGAATGACATTCACGTACATATCGTGTACAACATGTAATGTAACACATTATCCAGTCAATCATCCAGCGTCCGCTTTCATCACCTCTCCGCTAGCAACATGGAACTGATGACCCTTCCTTACTGGAGACATGCACTTAAAATGCAAGTGTTGGTTTGCTGTTAACCACCATTAACAACCTGCCGTCTCTTTCAGATAAAATCGCCCTGGAGGGAGTGGTCGTGCAGAGGGCCGAGTGCAGACCTGCTGTCAGCGAGAGCTACATGAGGCTTAAGAGGTCTGCATTCTGTGCCAAATTGTTTGCACACTCCAGTTAGTGTGTTAAATATTAGTCTGCTATAACCATTTGAAGAAATGTATAATTCATGTTTAAAAAGGTCCATTTGATCTTTATTATTTATAACCACACAAGTGAGTTAAATAACATGCACTTGGTAACACACTGCGTTGTATCACACGGGTGGTTGTGGTTTTTTCAGGTCTACTCAGTGTGTGTCGTGTGTAGGTAATTGTCACTGTCCCAACAGGTTGCAAATTGAAGAGTTGGCTAAGCCGGTCAGGCTGTCACAACAGCTGAAGACGGCTGTCACCACCAACTACAAACCAGTATCCAACCATCCAAACAATGTAAGACATGTTCCGTTCTCCACGTAGCCGCACATACAAACGTTTCCTGATGCTGCACCATAAAGTTGAAAGCACATGGGGTTAATGTTGATGGTTACTGAGGGGGAAAAGCCTTTAGTATTGTTGACATGGCTGCGTACGATGAATGTGTTTCCTGACCTCCGGCTCTTCTACTTTTGGCCACAGCTGGAGTACGAGCGGAGAAAGAAGGAGGAGGGCAAGAGAGCAAGAGGAGAAAAACCGCAGGTGTTGGACATGCTGTTCTCTGCTTTTGAAAAGCATCAGTACTACAACATCAAAGATCTGGTGGATATCACCAAACAGCCTGTGGTAAGATGTGTTTCTACATCCAACAGCCTGTCAATGTGGACCCAGTCCAGCGCTCTGTGATCACTGAAAACATCAAGACGCAAGCTTTTTTCTTGTGCAAATTGTTGACTAAATCACTGATTCATGGAGAATAATATTCATCTTCTGCCCATTTTTCTTTTTTCAGACATACCTAAAGGAAATCCTGCGTGGCATTGGCCTCTACAACGTGAAGGGAACACACAAGAACACCTGGGAGCTCAAACCAGAATACAGACATTACCAAGGGGAGGAAAAGACTGACGAATAGAGGATGTGCCGCCATCTTATTTTGATAGAGGCGCTGACCCTCCCAGTATGTGTTGGTGTCTGGATTCTTTTTCTTCCAGCCAAAGCAACAATGGATGAGCTCCTCTGCAGGTTGTGATTCAGTGAGGTTGCATCTGGTTATTTTGTAGGAGACAAGGGCACCAATTCAAGTTACTCCTTGAGGCCTCTGTAAGATGGTGGTTCTGTGCCAGAGGCTCAGGACATACGTAGCATTTTGCATATAGGAATGCAGTTTTACCATTATTTTTTAAATGATAGGTAGTTCCCACTGCCCACCTGACATGTGCCGAGGAAGTTCAGTGTTACTAATTTTACCTGAAGACAGGCATTATTGCTGCAAGTCTTGCTACATGTGCTTAAGGCGGCCTGTGTCTCATCTGCAGTTTAGACGAATTGTGCAATAAATGTTTTTCTACATTTTGTTTCAGTCGATAACAAATCAGCGGCATTACACATACAAGTGGAGAATGTTTGACCATGCCAACCATTCACTGCAGGTTCAGCAGACAACTGAGCCATTTTCAATTGCTTTAAATGTCTTAAAGCTTTACTACTGCAAGTTACTTTGCACTTCAACGGGTCACTTTTCAGCAAAGTAATAAATGCGCGCACACACACACACAAATCTCTTCCAGCTGAGGCTCAAGAATCAATTATATCAAAATGTTCAAACACAGGTTTAGTAATGATATCAGCACAGACTGCTTAAGTCTTTAATCTTGTTTTTATAAACAGACAAAATGTAGTTCAATTTTCACATTGCAGCGACTCATACGGTGTGGAATCATTATGCCAATGGCACATTTCAGAAAAATGAAGCCAGCAGTTCCACCGGTCTGCTTTCATCCAGGCGTTTGCCGCTTTGACCTGCAAGACAAATTAGAAAATTATAAGATGCATCACTGAAAGTTAAAATTTGCTGTGCCTCCAGCTATTGACTAAGTAAAGACTTCCGTTTGCCTTTGCTGATGCACCCGCGGCGGGCTAAGTCTCCCAACCGAACAATGGCTCACCTGCAAAGTATCAGCTGAGAAGAAAATCTCTTCTGATGGGTCGACTCTTTAAGCCTCTGGAAGCCTTGAAGAAGTCAGAGGGAAAACACCATTACATCCAGCTCACTCACAGTATTTTACAAACGTGTAATATTTAGTTTATCCTCCCACATTCAATCCGAGACGCCATGGAAAAGAGGCGAGCAGAAAGCGCAGGGACATTTAATATTGCATCTGAATTAATAAAACCCGGGGTCTCTCACATCAGAGAGCCCAGGCTGTCAAAGATGCAGCTTTGTCAGCGAGCGACACGGTTTAACCCCAGCACGAGTCGCTGCAGAGAGAAACGGGTAACATACTTCTCGCACAAGCAGATGGCAGCCGTCCTCTTGTCCGGGCTCCTCTCTGGGACTTATTTCCTTTAGTTATCATACTGCCATGGCAGATTGTGGTGTCACAACAGCAGCGTAATGACCGGCAGAGCCCTCAGCCTCCATCCGGCTCCGACAGGTGTCCAAACAGCATTTGATACGCTTGGAAAACAAGGAAGAAGAAGTCATTTTCTAGTCCTGCTTTTATAAAGCAGCGTCTGATTGTGGTAAATTCAATCTGTCCACTTCGTGCAACATGTTAAAATATTGGGATGCTACAGCAAGAACACATTGGCATCCGACATGCAGGGCAGACTGATGCATTTGCATCATTTAACTCCAAATAGGGAAATCGGTCGTTAATATAATAAGCACTAGTTGGTAGGACAGTCCTAACTGGGAAAGATTAAAGTGGAACAATTCAGTCATCCATGACGTCAGCTCGACAGGGCTCGCACAAAGAAAGACTAACACTAACGTCAATGCGACCACGGGACATTTAATAGTTAGATGTTGCATGAACAAGCATCACATTCTCCCTGAAACCACGTTGGGACACATTTTATTAGTGTTAAATAAAGATGGTTAATTAGCATTAACAGCATGGTAGCAATGAGGCTATCCCAGTACAATGCTAAACCTTGCTACACACGCGGTTAAAACGTTTCGAAAAGCCAATTATTAATGTAAATACGGGTTTATTGATTGGAATGAATACGTTTAACGTCCTGGAAGATTAACCTCAACTTCCTTGTTCCTTCATTAGTTGAGAGTTTGACGTTGCGACACTGGGACAGCCGCCTAGCCCAGCTAGCTTGACGTTAGCCATCTCAACGTTACTCATGTGAAGCGGATACAAAATGGCCCACGTGAACACACACGTGTCCACACCGGCGACGAGAAAACTGAACCATCAAACGGCCGTTTATCGGTTCCCTGAACAATGCGAGAACAAGCTACCATACTTACAGCAGCCCGTGATGACGATCAAGCGATGCAACGTTGGGTTACTTTTCATCATGAGGAACATCTCGGGCCTCCCTCGTGACTTCTCCTCTGCGCAGCAACGGCGGGGAAAGAGAGCGAGGCGATCCGCTGCCAGCTTAAATATGTTCGGGTCCGGCTCGTTGTCGCCCCCTTGAGGACCACGAGGGAGGTGCTGTTCACACTGTGGCCCCCAGGTGTCCGTACATGGGGCTATTTTTCATTACCGTAAGGTGCAGATAAGCGCACAGGATCATTCTTTTTATTTTGGTCCGTAGATTATTTTTTCACATGAAGCCTTTAAGAAAATGTCACTTGGAAATAATTCAAAGAAAAATGCTTAATGGATGAAAGATGTTTCCGGATTTCTCTTTTGAATGTTTGAATAAAACCAAATATATTTTATTTTATCCGATGTTGGAAAGTATTGGAGTCAATGTTGTTTTATTATCATTATTGTTGTTATTATTATTATTATTATCATTTCGGGTGTTATAGCAGCAGCGGTGTGCTATAAATAAAACGTTTAGATGAAAAAATAAAAAGCCCATCGCAGAAGAGGAACAAGCGCGTGAATTTCGCGCGCACGGATCTTCTTCCAGCACACTGTGAGATGACTGACGAGGTGCAGCACTTCTGAACTGGACTCCGCCACTTTAAACGCTCTGCCATCCGCTCTGCGTGCATTTACGAGAAGACATACGCGGCATCAGAGAACACCTAAGAGCAGGTACGTTGAGTTAATCATTTCTAATTTGTACTAATGATAAAAATGTGAAGAAATGACTCATTGTCTTTGACACGAATTAAAGCAGCTTGTTTGTACTGTACTAACCTTATCGTGGGGAGTGTTGCTTGAATGACGTGTTCCTCATTGTAATAAACATTTTGCCTTATCTTTCACATGGCAGGAGACAGTGAAGCAACAGATCATGTTCAGAGCAGTGTTTGGAAACAAGAGGGATGCAGGAGGAAAACGAGGAGAAAAAAACAGAAAGGGTCAGGCAGGTAAGGGCCGAATCCCTGAAACTGCAGTGTATCTTTATTTTATTTTATATTGCAGTTTAAATCGTATCAAGACTGCATTTCTGTCCCTTTACACGTTAGACATTGCATCATTTAATGGCGTTATTCAGGTTCTCATCTCTCGGGTGATTTAAGTGGAGCCTTTTCAATTAACCTAATTCATCAGTGTGTTCTGTCCTTCACGCAGTGTCCCCATGCATGAAATTTAAGTGTGTCAGGAGAAGTTGGAGTGGGTGAAGCAAACATCCTGACCTACTAAAAACATACTGCATATCACAAGAATTTGCAAGTGGGCTCCGAGGGCATGAGACCAATCTGCGCTCCTGTTATGAAAGAGTCGTACTTGCCGAACGTTTCGTAGTAACGTCAGTGAAATAACAGGAGCTGCGATGTTGGTGCTTTTCACAGGGAGAACTTGCTGCAGTTCCGAGGAGGTTTCGGACTGCACAGTGGAGATAGATGAACAGTATTAGAGCAACCATGCTGCCCATTAATATTTGATAATATGCTGCTCTGGAAGGCGAGAGCAGAGAGGAATAGAGAGAACTGTGTCAGTCTCATTAAAAATGATATAGTGTGTTTACAGACTCTGATCCTTTGCAGAGCGATCCCACTTCTTGTCAAAGCGGGATCATGAACGGTTTCGAGGCTGTGATCCTTAAATCTTTGAGGAATTATGCAACAGCAAATCATGTGGACCTATGAGTCCTTGTTTGGCTCACGGTAAGAGCTGCTAAAAACTCACTCATTCAAAGCGAGAGAAAGTGAAAGACTCAATTATTCCACTGGGAAAAGTAGTGCAATCTGTTAGAACCCATCTAAGTGGCAATGCAGGCTCTGTAATCACCTGGCTTTATGACTTCTCATGCGTAATGGTTATTAAAATACACAGGACGAGGCCCAATGGCTCTGCAGCACGAGTGGAGATGAAAACGGTTTGAATATTGAATTCAAATATAACAAGTCTGCCTTTTTATATTGAGTGTGATCCCATTACTTTAAATAGATGTTCTGGCATTGCCCACTTTCCATTACCTCATTCAGCAATATGCCTCCAAGACAAGACACGTTGGCTCCGTCGCAGCCTCATGGCAGACGTGTTTTAAACTAATCTGTCTGCAATGTGTTAAATCTGCTGCGCAGTCACAGTTCTGTTGAATCAACTCCGCCTTTTCAACTCCTCCAAATGATGCCCCTGAGAGCGTTTCTTTCTCTCCTTCCATCGCTGTGTTTCCTCTACACACATCTCGTCCACGTAGGTAGTGAGGTGTGCGCTCACAGCACTCTGCAGAGGGGCAGTGGCGGTCGTGCCACGCACCGCCAGGACCACGGGAGCCAAGGGAAGCCGAGGAGACTGACCAAAGTGGCGTCCATTTCGCTGCCCTCCTCCCCTCTTCTCCCTCGCCAGGCCGACATAGTCGCCTCCCGGTCGTGCATCAAGTTCACAGGTGGGTTGAATTGAAATAGCGTGGATAGGAAGAACAAAGCAGAGGCTGAGTGCGAACAACTGAGGATGACAAGAGGCCGCGCATCAGGGAATAGCTGCAGAAATAGCAGAATGCTTTCATGGGTTTGCCTTGGTTGGCTGAGAGCTTCTGTGCGTTCAGCTGTTCCATACATGTGACAGCGAATGCAAGAGCATACAGGCTGAGCCCCCAGGGCTCCAAAACATGTGACAGATTGTCAGAGTAAATGATTAAATAACATAACTTCAGGCCAGAAACCCAATTAGGTAGATTTTAGACACAATGCTAGTTTGGATCTATACTAAATCTCAATTAAATCCAACTCTTTGAATAGCAGAATAGATGAAATCTTAACCAAAGGTCAATAGCTTTGCAAATATGCCAGCATACGCTTACCGACACAAATGGAGTAGGCCTACCACTCGTTCGATTCATGCAAATAAACCACTGCAGTCGTGTTTCAAGTCAATCCCTGCACGTCCGTGCGTACGTCATTAGTAAAGGCCGGGAGGAGAGGACTTAAAAAAAATAGAGAAAGGTCAAATATGATTTTCTACAATGCACATACTGCCTCACGGACTTTTCATTATTTTATTGACATTTTTAAAACATCCATGGGCACATTACTGTTTTGCATTCATCAAGTCACCACAGTAAAAATCACAAAGACATCATTGGCAGTTTAAACACGCTTTGTTTAATCCGTACATAACGCCACATTGTTTTGTGCTCATTCAAACTCTCGTCGCCGTCGGCTGAAGCCTCTTGCAGCACCAGGTGGCAGTGTCCTACAACCAAGCAGGCGCCGCTGCCTCTCGCACATGACGAGGAGCATCAAGTCATGGCGCACGCTGTCACGGCCTCCGTGTCATCGGTGATCGAACAGTATACCGAATGTTAACCGGTGTGGGAATCCGGCAGTATTTCCTCCCTGTGGGAACGGAACACGGAATAACCTTGAGTGTGGCGGCTCGAGTGCATCTCTGTGTTCCCATCACATCTCATCCTCCTGAAAGATCTCCAGTCCTGAAGAATCTGCGCTTCCAAGAGCCCTCAGATGTGTTGTTGCATAAATTTGAGACACACCCACACACATCAATATGAGCGCACCGCTGTCTCTGCCATCTCCCCCCCCCCCACACACACACACAAACACACACACACACACACACACACACACACACACACACACACATTAGCAGTGTTAATATATTATAGATAAACGCCCACGGTACAGTGAACATGGTACTGTTTGCATGCATTGCTCTCACTCTGTACATACTGCTTCATCCTCCTGGGACACAATTCAAATTCTGCACCACAGATCTCATCTGGGGTGGCTTAATCTCTCTCTCTCCCTCTCTCTCTCTCTCTCACTTTCTTTCATATCCCTCCTTATCTCCACCCTCAATCCCTCCCTCTCTCCCACCCTGCCTGCTCTCCCTCCCTCTCCTCTCCTGTCTCCCTCTCCGCTGTGGCCGAAGGACGGGTAAGGAAGCTGGAGGATGTGGACGGCTTTCCCGGCGCTAGAGAGCCTCTCGTCTTTGCCTCGTGCCGTGGCAGGACAGACCGCAGAGGTGAGAACAGCTGCGTGTGGGAGTGTGTTTAGCGTCATTTCTGCTTTTTTTCCAGGTATTGATCACGGAGGCTGAGTGACAACGAATGGGGTGGAGGGGAGTGAGTGATGAGGTAAAGGAGAAAGTGAGCGCGTGGTTGTGCTTTTAATGACATCCGAAAGGCTTTGCATTAAGTTTTCTATTTCAGATGAACGTAGGGACAGCGATGGTTTGATCCTCAGTGCAATTGATTGTGGTTTTGTTTGAATTCAGTTTCTCCGTGAGAGAGTCCGTGCCCTCTTCTCTTCTCTGCATGCTGCTTGTGCAGTCAGGTTAAATGAATAATGCTGTAAATAGCCACGTCTCACACAGCTTCCTCTGTGTGTTTGACCAGAGGGTTATCGTTAGGCTAAACCGATTTTATGAGGCATCTTCCATCCCGGTTGCCAGGCACCTCTGAGCTTCCCGTTTCCAATGGCAACTGCTCGGTGATTTGATGAATAGTATTGGACATTCAGTGTGTCCTCATGTTACTCCAGATTGTAACTCAGTGCACTGCTGACTATATGCAAAGTTTTCTCTCCTCCCGCTCTCTGAAATACACACCCATCCTCCCTACAAGCCTTTCAGGCTACGAAGTGAAGAGAGGACCCACGGCGATTAGAACTGGGGCGCTTCGTGGAACAAAACCACCACCACGTTGCCTCTCGAGTTTGACCTTGACCCTCTGAAGGCCGTGACTCCCGTTTCAACTCACGCTGAATGTTGAACGTAAGAGCGATGGGATGCAGTGGCTTTTGAAAGGAGAGAGTGAGCCGGCAGGACAGGATGAGAAAGAATCAGCGGAGGGAGTGCGAAATGAATGTCTAAAGCGCAAAGATGTTTGTGAGGAGGAGTGATCTGTTCCTGCAATCCGTGATGTCCCGTCATCCTGTTTGTAGGCCTACTCAATATGCATGTTACTCAGAGTAAGAGGTGAGGCGTGAGAACTGTATCACTCAGCTGTGTGGAGCCCAGAGACGCGCAAACGGATTTGAAAGCCTCGCTGTGCGGAAGGCGAGCGCGGAC